GATGCCTGTCCCCCGTCGCCGCCCCCTCGGGGCCCGGCGGAACTTTGCGGCCTCAGGCTTTTCGCGGAGAGAGCAAAAGCCCCGAGCAGGCGGGGAAATTAATCGGGAGGGCCGCTCTTTGAAAACCTGAGTGGGCGGAGATCCGCTGACTTCCCTCCCGCCCTCTGCGCTGACTGTGCCTCTAGGGTGGCGACACACAGAGAGAGATGATGATGAACCTGTGAGGTGGTGCTGCTTCAGGTGGCTTGTCTGTCTGGCAAGGACATTAATTGCTACCTTTCCTCCTGTGTGATTCCTCAGCCATCGGAGAAAGTCTTCCAATCAGGGAAGTTGTTAGTGATTTACAGTACTACGGATCCAGTGAAGTTGCTGGGCAAGTTTAGTAAGTATGCTTATACATCGGAGTTAAGCCTCAGTGCGTTCCCTTTTGCCCATCAACTGCATTTCCCATCACGCTCTGCCACTCCAGCGGGCTCCTTCTCAGTGCATTTTCCTAGCAGTGCCCTTTTCCTCTATCAGTCCTATCAAGTTCAATCGCAGTTTCTTATCCAATAGACGTGCATAGGATTACAGCCTTAACTCGGGATCCAGCACGTCCATGGTGTCTTCTCACGGACAGAAAACAGGTTACCTTTTTCGGGCTAAAGCCGTCTGAATCAAAAAACCAGGATGCTTAAAGGATTTTGGACGTCCTGTCCAGAAATGTAACTTTTCTAAGCTCCGCTTCCGCGTGTAGATTTTTTCCTCCCTTTTGACAACCATCGGCCCGACAAGGCGGAGCCGCCGCTGTTTTTTCTGGCGCAGAGCAGGTCTCCTGCAGCAGAGGATATAAACCCGCCCCTTCCTCTTTTTAATTGGCAAAACAAACTTTGAGAAAGCGCTGGTTCTCAAAGCATGGGAAGCGTAGAACAAAAAGTACCGCGGTGATGTTTTCAGGGCTACCTGAAGTGTGCGTGTCGTGCCGTCAAGTCGGAACCTACTTAAAGCGACCCTAATAGGGCTTTTAAGGTACGTGAGATATATAAGCAATGGTTTTACCAGTTCCACTCCAGAGTGTTTCCACGGCCAAGTGGGGATTTGAACCCTGATCTCCAGGACCCTAGTCCGTTAACTTTGTCCACTACACCACGCCGGGGGTCCTAGTCCGTTACTCTGTCCACTACACCACGCCGGGGGCAAAAGGGGGGGGGAATTCCTTTTTTTAAAAGGTTCTTTATGTTTGGGGTGGGGATATATTCTATGTGAGGGTCTGATGTTTTGAAACAAATCTAAGGATCCTGGGCGATCGCTTATTTAATGTTTTGTACACTTTTGTGCGGAAAGAACACAACCTGCAATTCTTGCTCAGAGACAAAACCTCGGCTTGGAAAAGGGAGGATCGAACCTTATTCCGGCGGCTGAGGGATTGCGTGCCTGGCTTCACTCAGCATGCGGTCTGCCTCAGTTTCCTTAGGTGGAAGACCAGGCCGTGTCAGCGCAGCTGAGCGAGCAAGCTTCTGTGGCCAGTGGAAGGTTCAGGCTGGGAAAGAGCCCTTTGAGAACCTAGAGGGAGCCGCTGTCTGTCAGTCCCTCTAGAGCGGAGTGGGGAAAACGGGTACTGTTGGACTGCAATTCCCATCAGTCCTAGCCAGCAATCCTATTGCGAAGGACGCTGGGAGTTGCTGTGCAATAAATATTCAGTGGGCCGCAGTTTACCCATTCCTGATGTAGAAAATCCTCTTCTGGAAGGACCGATGGTCTGAATCATCACAATGCTTCTAAACATTGTGATGAAAATGACACCCCCTCCCCATGATGTTTGTTTATATGACAAGTCCCTGAGGTCGAGCAGCTTTGTTACAGGTGAGTTGTAAGGCATGCTACAATGGGCGAGGGCGAGGCAGAGGTTAAACGCCAGCTGTTAACAAGGGATCCAGTACCACGGAGTGATTGTTTATATAGGGAGCTAGTCCCAGTGATCAACCAGCGAATCCCAGTTCCAGAGTTGGTAATTTTGGGGTGGGGCTGGGCTAGGATGGAGCAGTAAGGACTAAACAGCGACCGATACAAAAGGAGAGGTAGCTTTATGGGCCCTAAGGGAGGGGGGGGATCCAAATTCTTTGTTGTGGTAATCAAAAAGAAACAAAAGCATGGCTTTAATCAGGACTGAGATAATAGTTAATCCGGAGTGTGTGCAGAGGGCATGTGAATATAATAATAAATGATTATTATTAATAATTTATTTATTTAGATTGCAGTCTACACGAGAATGCATTCCAATACAATCAATGATATACTGTACAAACATGCAACACAGCAGACTCTAGCGACTGGATTTAAACGAGGATCATCTTGTAGGAGAAGCTTTGAGAAGGCAACCTTTGGGGGGGGGGAGGCAAGAGTCTATATGAGGACCGTCACTTTGCTTCTACTCCTTGCCCAGAAGTGCCTGGCAAAGCGCAAACGCCGACTCTCTGGATGCTATTTTCAAACGCCTATACTGACTGTACGGTACTTCTCCCTGAGGGCCAGGCACACAATTAGCCAGGAAGAAAAGGGTCCGGTGAGGGGACGACCCACCAGGTAATTGTCACCAAGGGTAAATCGTTCCTGGCAGGTCTCGTCGGAAGTGCCCGACACAGTTAAATGTTGGTCACGAGAAGTTGCATGGACTATGCCAGCTCTTGTCTTCAAAGTAATAATTAAAAATCAAAACAAAACTCAGATGGGTAGTTCAGCAGCTCATTTCTGGAAGTAGAAAGCCATGCCTGTATATAATTTGTTTTAAGGGCTAACAGTCGGAAGCGTAGGAGAAAGATGAAAGGCTGTTTGGCCAAGGACGTTTCAAGGTTCCTGGTATCATTTCATTCACTCTGTCCACCTGACACACAGAGTAGTGGCTGTTGAATATCAGGCGTTCCTTTGTCGAGCGCGGGAGAAAAGGATGGGGGGGAACATTATAGTGTGTGTGTGTGTGTGTATGGGAGAATCTTATTTGTTTATGGGTTTCTTGCAGTTTTATAGAGGAAATTGCCTTCAAGATTTTTGACAGGCGCCTGGCCTGGCACAGTCCAAGCCAAATGCCTAGTTTTAACAGTTGGTATGTAGATAGGACTCATGCACAACTCTATTAAACAGAGCAGAACAGAAAAGTAAGACAAGTTGAATTTCTGTAAGATGAAAGCAATTCCATTAGGCTCAATGGGATTTACTCTGAGTAGTGAATGAACTTCCGCTCAACTAGAGTTGTCCAGCCCTGCATGGGATATGTGAATGACCTTTCATTTCAAACTTTTTTTCTCTCCACAGAGAAGAACGACCTACCTTTCGAGCCTGTTTTTGCAAGGAAGAACATTTAGGACGGTGCTCCTTGGGGAATGACAACTACGATGCCCAGCGCGATTCTTGAGGAACCGCGAGCACGCCTTGAATTCACCAGGACTTAAACGTTGGGATCAAAGAGGCTCGGGATCTCGTTGCACGTTCCCGAACATTAAGTCAATGCATCGGTGCTTGTCTCTCTGAATTAAACTCATTTGTTTCAATGGATCTTACTTCCAGTCATGCTAAAAAAAAAAACCCAACCCTCCCACTTTAGAGCCAAGCGCGTTGACTTAAGTAGACCTTGGGAAAAGTCCAACAATCCATCAAATCCGATCCAAGACCAAGTGATGAGCGCAACGCGGCGCGCACATTCTTCAACCGTTTGGAATAAGCGCAGGAAGCGCCCGGGCGCGTAAAAGAGGAAAAAAAATCTGACGCTAACTGCACCGCGGCCCCTTGTGCGCGAAACCCGCGCGTGCTTATAACCCTTGTGGTCAGGCCGAGCCAAGAAAAACCGCCTCCCGCGAGGCAACCCCCACCCCCCGGCCGGCGGGATCGGCGCCTGGCTTTCTGTGATGTCACAATGAGGCGCTGGCGACCGCGGCCTCTCTGCGCCCGCCCCCTTTATGGCGCCCGCTTCCGTTCCGGTTGCCTAGGAGAAGGGTACACACCGCGAGCCAAACTGAAGAGGCCCCCGAGGGAAATAGGGAGCGAGGCTCTTCTCTGGCTGGCTGCGGGTCTCGAGTTGCCGTTGGTGGCTCGGGTCTCCGGAGGGGAGAAGCACAGAGGGGCCAAGGCAGACCCAGGGTCCGTTAAAGACCGCAGGCGTCGTCGCTTCCGAGGCTTTTCCGAAGCCTCTTTGAGGAACCATGAGTCAGAGGCAGGTCTTACAAGGTATTTTATCAGGCTGCATTTGGCGTCGTGAACTTGAGGTGTCTTCCTCTTTTTTTCCTTGCAGAAAGCAGCAATGGGGTCTTGGGGTATCAAAAAGATTATGAGTTGGATCGTCTAACTTAGAAAAGTTGCTTTTTTCACCTATTAAAATTCATTTTTCTCAAAATCTCCTAGCATCTATCTATCTATCTATCTATCTATCTATCTATCTATCTATCTATCTATCTATCTATCTATCTATCTATCTATCTATCTATCATCGGCCACCTTTCTCTGGATAAGGGGATCCAAGCTGGCTCACAATGTTAAAAAAGTAGAATTTTAAAACACAATAAATTGTGCATTGAAAAAAAAACAAATTATATTATAGTACTGATATATTTCCACTGGCTAGGGGTTCTTGGAGTTGCAGTTCCCTAAGATAACTTTTTGAAGCTCTGAGTAAGACCCAGTGAAATCAGTGGGCCTTAAAGTGCATGGCTAAATTTGAGCCCCCTGTCATGCAAAATATTGGACATAGCTTTGGTAGGCAACCTGACTGCTTTCCTACATGTTGTGCCAGCATTTATTTCTTATTTTTGTCTCATCTCATAAGACTTTGCTTGTTTTTGATGTGAAATCATTCAACATTTTAGAGCTTGTTAGTTTATCATGGGTGTAAATCAGAATAAAATTGGCTGGGGCACCTGGCTCCAGAGCCAGACATTGAAAGAGTTAATTCCCCACTGCACCTTGTAGGATAAGCGCTAGCCTGTGAGTCCTTGGGCAAGCTACATGGTCTCAGAGTGTCCCCATATGAAAGGACAGTTTAACTACTTATGAGTACTGTATACAGTACCTAGAAAATCCTGGTAACGGTCACCACAAATTGGACTTTACAGCACATAATTATTGTTGCAAATAACAGTAAAAAGGAATGCCACTGCTTCTCTGGGCTGATCAGGAGATCTCATTGACAGCCACTCATTTTTCCTCCTTTACTGTTTGCAGTCTTTGAGCAATATCAGAGAGCCCGAACACAGTTTGTCCAGACTGTTGCAGAACTTGCAACTAGGCCGCAAAATATTGAGACTCTCCAGGGAGCAGGTAAATAAATAAACAGAAACAAACAATGCTTTGTAAATTCTCAATTATCTTGTCATAGAATTAAGAGTACTGTAGTCATTTCATTGTCTTCCCTTGTCATGCAGCTTAAAGACAGTCTAAGAAAGTTATCAGGTAAGACTTATATCTGTATATTGAATGCAGTTGGTATATTGACTATCAATTTACTTTGCATTAAGGGGGAAATTCCCAACATGTATGATTATTTGCACATTATTTGTAAGCTGTTTCATCTGTTGAAATACAAAAAAGAACAAGACAACAGAGAGGTAACAATTCACCTCTCAGTTCTAAGTCTTTCTGCTTTTAAGCACTGATATGGGAAGGGGATAGTAATGTAGGTGTTTATTTATTTATTTATTTGATTTATATCCCGCCCATCTGGTCTGGTTGACCACTCTGGGCGGCTTCCAATAAAAGTATATTTATAATAAAACCAAATAATATTCCAATCATTCAAAAGACATACAATAATAGAACAAATCAGAAAAAAATAATTAAATATTGACAGAAGGGAAGGCCTGAACATATAACCATGTTTTAATCACAAGAGACACTTGCATTATGGCTTGCAACAGAAGACACATGAATCTCTTACAGTACATATGGGTAACAAGTGTACAGTGGTGCCTCGCATAGCGATTGCTCCGTATAGCGACGAAATCACCTTGCGATGGACTTTTTGCCATTGGAAAAGCGATTGGTTTGCGATGGTCCCTATGGGGGAAATTCAATTTGCGATGATCGCAGGGAAGCAATAATCGCAAAGCCCCCGTTTTTGGCCAGCTGATCAGCGATTTCAAAATGGCCGCCAGGTAAACAAAATAGCTGCCCGCTATTTTCAGGCACAGATACCTAGCTTTAGAGGCACCGAAAATCGTGGCGCTATGGAGGATTTTCGCTTAAAGGTGAGTTTTTAGCCCACAGGAACGCATTAATTGCGTTTTAATTCGTTTCTATGGGCTTTTTATTTTCGCTTAGCGATGTTATCGCTTAGCAGTGATTTTTTCTGCGTGGATTAACATCGCTAAGCGAGGCACCACTGTACTGCCAACAATACCTTTTTACTCCTAGCTGCCTACAATGTCTTCCTATGATGCAGCTCCCAGGCTACATAACTTCTCTCTAAAGGAGGTTAGGCTGGCCCTATTCCTACTGTTCTTTCACAAAAATGGCTTTGTTTAGATCAGTGGTTCTTAACGTGGGCGATAATGCCCCCGGGGGCGATTTCATTTTTCAGGGGGGCGGTAGAACGAAAAGGGGCGGTGTGGGGGCGCTGGAGCAGAAGGGGGCGGTAGGGGGGTGCTGGAGAAGCCAAACCTGTGAAGATGGCTGCAGCCTTTTTACAGTGTGCATGAATATATATTTTCCTGGGGCATTTCATTTTCTTGGAATTTAATTTTGTTTTCAGGGGTCATTGGATTTAAGTGTCTTAAATAAATAAATAAATAAATAAATAAATAAATAAATTAAAAAAAAGATATCATCACCGCAGGGAGGGGGGCGATGATAACTTCCTCAATGGCTCAAAGGGGCGTTTGTTTCAAAAAGGTTAAGAACCACTGGTTTAGATGGCCTTTGACTACTGATTCACAGAAGAGGATGCGCCTCCTAAGGGTGGGTGGATGCTCTATAGGGTTTTTTTTGTGTGTATGATTTTAAAAAGGCTTTAATGTTATTTTAATATTGTCTTGTTTTATTGCATCATGTCATTTAACAGTGTTTTAGGTCTTGTAAACTCAAGGCCATGGCTTGCTTTATTGAATCAATTCATCTCATATTTAGTCTTTTTCTGCTTTTCCAACTTTCCGCTGCATTGTTGTCTTTTCCAGTGAGTCTTGGCTTCCTATGATGTGCTTGCAGTATGGTAGTCTCAGATGCATATTAGCATCTGGGGAAAGTTCAGGCTTTCTTTGTCTCATACCCACTTACAGTATATGTCTTTCTAGTGGTCCATGGCACTTGTAAGCTTCTTCTTCAACACCATATTTCGAATGAATACATTTTTCTGTCAGTTTTCTCACAGTCCAGGATTCACATCCATATGTAGTGTTAGGGAAAACTATGGCAAGAATAATATTGGTTGGTCTTGATCACCAATTACACAGCCTTACACTTAAGAATATTTTCTAACTCATTCATTGCTACCCTTTAAAGTCTCATGCATCTTCTAATTTCTTGGCTGGAAACTAGTGTGGTATTTGATGAAAATTTAGAAATTTATGTTTCGAGGCAGTAGTTTCAAAATTTGCCCATAATATGAACATTTGGGCTTTTACTCTAAATAATTACAGCAAAAGAACATATAAAACAGTTTTGCTGTCCAGTTCTAATTTCTGACACATGCTTCCAGTTTATTCTGCTAGGCATAGGATGATTTATGAATCCTGACTTTCATGAAGATGGCATCTGAACAGGTGCTTAGAATTCACAGTTAAGGATTTCTCATTTTTAGAGTATGTTAGTACAGTATGTTCAGAATTTTCAACTTGTGTTGAATTTTTTTACTTTTCATAAGAAGGGCATTGCTTGTGGAAGCTGGTTTCACCTGATTTTTAAGGATCTTCCCTCTCCACACTACAGCTCAGTCCAGTCAGCAGGTCTCCTGGCCCTTTTTGTAGCACTTTCAGAGGAGTGAAGGGACTGTTATAGGAAGGAAGGGGAATCTGGTGCCACTGGATCATTTATTGATGATCCTTTTTTAAAATTGTAACTCCTAGCGTCCAGCAGACATCATAGAAATTGTCATGCTGGGTGTAGGACCCTGAGAATTGTGTTTTGTTTTTTAAAAAGGGCAATGCTTCCCATCAATTTCATGCCAAAATGTGGATTCAATCAATAAGCAAGTATGCTGGGAGTTCTTTGAGCAGTAAAAATAAAATGTGGTAATGAGAACTGTGCATGCTACCTTGAGCTCCTTGTAGGAAAGGAGTGGCTATAAATGTAATCGGATATGCTTGTGATTGGGCTCTATGAGTAACTACTGAATAAATAAGACTTGGCTTAAATCTAGTGAATTCTGACTCAAATCTATGATGACTTATACATATATAGTAGGTATACATCCTGAGGTGGTTCAGTCTTATGGACTCAATAAGAAAGTGTGTGTTATACACAGTCAAGATATTGTAATAATATTTTGGGTTATCTCAGAGGGGTTTTGCACTTCTCTGAAATTTGTCTTTACCCATTTCTAGAAAATGCATTATAAAAAATCAAATTTGTTGCATTTTTGCATTAACTAGGAAATGTACCATTGAATAGGTTGAGCCTTTTACTTAATCAGGCTCTCATTCTGTGCCTGTGCTGTGTGTTTATGGAAAAGGCTCTCTATGTATATTGTAACATGTTATGTGACATGTGGGAAACACAACTAAAAGCGCCAGTTGTTATCTCATTCTGGTACTGGAGGTGAGAACTTCCATAGACATGGAAAATCCTCAGCAGGCTTTCATCATTTCTAGATAACCCAAGAAACAGGACCTTTTCAACATTTCTTCATATTCCTATTTATATCAGGGATGGGGGACTTTATTTTTTAACTGATGGAGTTCATCCTCTCATAGGTAACCTTCTTGTATGTGTGTGCCAGCAATGGGTGGGGCCCAAGGCATTTACACCATTTATATGTGGGCCTCATTCATATGCACACATATGCAAAAGCAATAACCACACATATTAATATACCTACACCAACACATGCTCCTCTACCATCACTTAAATTTGACGCAACCTATAATTGGAACCAGTGACCTTTTTAAAAAGCTGGTTTGCCACAAAGGAGGAAGATTCTTTATGGGATTGAAATGCATAGGGATGATTAATCCTTTTCTTACAAGCTCTTCTAGCCCACCCAAATTTTGCCCCTTATATTGCAGTTAACTATTATGGACCATCAGAGCTGCATATGGCCCCATGCATGCCAGTTGCTCACCTCTAATTTGGACAATTGGCTTAATATGGTTGTCTTCTCTGCAGTTCTGTACCCAACAGTCAGCTAGCCTTCTATGACTAATGGGCACACTCAGTCCTTTAGGTAGGCCATGTCCCTTCAAGTGCACGCAAAGGATTTGTAATAAAAAATTGCAAACTTTGCAATGATTCCAATTGGGTGCCTGAGGATCCTCAGTTCCTCCAAAAACTGGAAATGCATGGAATGACCTGCTGATGTGGTGTAGGGATCCCAGCACAAGAGTACAACTGTCCATTTGGGCTATGAAGATATTTCTCCATATTTACATAATTCATAGTAACTGTGTTTTTTTCAGAGTTGCACTGCATATGTTATTGCATTTTCCAGAATTTACAGTATGTTGGGATGCTAATCTTAGATCTTGCTGTGGGTTCTCTCTCCTTCAGTCACAGTTGGCAGTTGTGATATCAGATATATAGTACGGAAAGCATAACTGATCTTAAAAATAGAGTGGCCCTTCTTGTCTCCTCTTGCTTCATATGGGTTGATCTCTGCACTTCTACAATAAACAGAAATGTTTGGTTTCCATCTTGCAGAAGGAAAAGGGGTGAAGACCAGATCTTGGAATTATTATGTTTTAGTGCATCTCCTAGAATCTGCCAGCTGGCATGAATGCTGGGAGTTATTCTCCAAAAAATGGATTTTCTTTTGTTTTTAGTGATGATGAAAATTAACAAGATTATTGCCTGTGTTCCTGGTAGGATTTGCTGAAGGCATTTTGCTGCCTGAAGGAGAAGAGGAAATGGTTAACCTCTTACCCTCTAACTCTCATTTCCAGATGGTACTAAAAATTGCCCACATTCCTTTTGCATATGAGACAGAAGATTGTATAAGCCCCTCTCCTCTTTCATGGGAATAAAAATCAATAATAATAAATCAAAAATTAACTAGTAGTTGGCCTTTTAATACATCCCAAGTATGATTCCTCAGCCATCTGCTTCAATTGTTGGCTTGCCTCACCAACCCCCATCTCGATTACTTGTTCACTTGTCCTAAGATGTTTAGATAT